TTTCCTCCACTCAAGTAATCCCCATTGTGGATTTAGAGCTTCTGGGGCGTTGGGAATTTAAGCCAGACCCCAACACGCCCCGGGTCGAGAGATTAGCGGCTAGGGACGCCCCTGGGGACATCTGCTGGACACCCAGAGAACTAGGGTTGGACGAAGAGGAGGAGGGGGGGAGAGAGGGTGGGAGAAGGGTGAGAGAGGAAGAGTCGAAGGATGGGAGGGAGGGAGGAAAGAGTGGGAGAGCAGACCTACACGATGCTAAGGTAAGGAAGATGAGTGAGAATACCTGGAGGCTCCACAAAGTCAGGTAGAAATAATGAGACCATGACAGGTTCCCACGTTATACAGCGTTGTGGGGCCCTTTGTCAACGCTTCCAGTGGCGTTGGTCCTATGGTGCTAACTGCTCTGTTTATCCCGCGAACGCTGACCGCCTACACCCTCTGGGAACCATCGTAAACCTCGTAATTCGGTAGTTAGCGGGGCTGTCATCGCGTGCTTGACAGACCTAAATTATATTTCAACCAAAGAACTGAATTCTTGCTGGTTTTATAACACTGACCGCGCACTCTACACAGAGTACTTCACGGTGAAAATATTGACGTAGAACAGTAGTTAAAACATTAAATACCAGAAAGAGTAAAAAGTCACAATACCCTAGCTGGAACAATACACAAATAACCTGCACTAGGGAAACTGAAGTGTATGCTGACGTTTTGGTCCAACTTGGACCGAAACGTGACTTGGTAATAATCCATGTCGGACCGAAACGTCGTCATAGGGTTCAGTCTCCTAAGTGCGGGTTATCTGTGTAAAGAATACCAGAACCAGTGTTTTATACAGAGTATTGGGTTTAAGCCAAGCATACTTTAATCAATAAATCAGAAATAACAGCAAACTCTCGGTTATATATGCTGACAAACGACCACCACTGGTGTAGAATCTGTATAAATATACCCACAATCAAGTTAGGGGACTAGACAGGAGCGCAATGTTTGAATGTTTATTTAGGTAAAATGTTGCCATGTGCCGCTTTACCTGTATACTTTTGGTTTATCTTGTCAGTCAAAATTTTCCATCGCATCTGTCTTTGACCGCGTCAGTTTAGACGTGACAAGTGTAAACAAAGATTAGTGAATGTATACCTCGCATTTCTTCATTATTTATTGTTATTGTCATTATTGTTATATTCATGGGAGACCGTAAGTTCTCATGGGACATACAGTGCGTGGGGAAAAGCATGGATGGTGACGTAACCAAATTTGATCAAAGAGAGTAGCCCCATTTCCTTGAACCAAGAGCCCCTTAACACTATCAAGGCACACCCTTGCAGGTTTTTTTTTTTAATTGTACTCGACACAAACATTGGCAATGGACTCTGCGTACAACTGCTCAGTTAACTGTGTTTGCGTACAACTGCTCAGTTAACTGTGTTTGCGTACAACTGCTCAGTTAACTGTGTTTAACACTCCACTCTCATTGGTTCCCGGTTTATCTGTCAGGGTAGAGACGAACGATGCAGTATTTACTTAAATCGCTCGGGTATGGTAGATTAAAAACAATAGTTATTATCACAGATACTGTTTGACGCTCAAAGTAATGATTAATCCATAAAAAAAATTGAAGTAAAATTTTTACACACACACAGGCCAGGAGCTGTCTCGACCCCTGCAACCACAAATAGGTGAGTACACACACACACACACACACACACACACACACACACACACACACACACACACACAGCATTCCGACATCTTAATGAGGAATCGTTCAGGACCCTGTACACCGTGTACGTTAGGCCCATATTGGAGTATGCGGCACCAGTTTGGAACCCACACCTAGCCAAGCACGTCAAGAAATTAGAGAAAGTGCAAAGGTTTGCAACAAGACTAGTCCCAGAGCTACGGGGATTGTCCTACGAAGAAAGGTTGAGGGAAATCGGCCTGACGACACTGGAGGCCAGGAGGTCAGGGGAGACATGATAACGACATAAAAATACTGCGCGGAATAGACAAGGTGGACAAAGACAGGATGTTCCAGAGATTGGACACAGAACAAGAGGTCACAATTGGAAGTTGAAGACTCAGATGAATCGAAGGGATGT